GGATACCTCAGAAGCTGTGATAATCGAGAAGTGAGTGGGACTTTTTAAAATAACTTCATAACCTACATTTGAAGAAACCCTCAAGGATTTCCAAACTAAGGGATCAATGGGGCATATCTGACCAACATAAGGTATGGTTGTGATGCTGAATCTTGCACAATAAAAAGAGTAAATACAACATAAGCAAAATAATATATTTAAAAAAATGTTCTTCTTGGCATGGGACAAAATGATTATTAGAAATGATAAATGATGGAGTGAGTGTGATGTTCAATACTTTTTAAAAGGATAGTTCCTACTCACAGTAAGTTGTTTTGCAACGATCCGGATTTCGAGCCTTTTAGCTCATCATCAGGTTGAAAGACTTCCACAACCACGTCTCTCGACATGAATTGCCAAAGTGAACCGCTGATAACTCCGCCAACGCGACGTTCCAATTAGCAGCTGATTTTTTTAATGGCGCTCAATTTGAACGTGCGAAACGCGGAAATTATAACACAAATAAATATTAGAATAATGAATACTTAATATTACTATAAATTACTATAAAAATAATAACAATTAAAATAATTAGATTAATTATTTGGATGTTTGATATTATTTATGTACATATTTAAAATGGGAGGTAGATCAAAATCTGTTATATTATTAATGCATTTATCACCATGTTCAATTTTACATTTTTTAATTTCAAATTTCTCAAACCAATCTAGTTCTTTCCCTTTGTTGAAACTATGTAACACTCTTGTATTTAAATTTGAATTGAAATTATGTTTTGTTTCTTTTAGATGGTCCTTAAATTCCGAAAATTTGCTCGATTTAGGCAAGTGTTCTTTTACTCTTGTTTTTATTTCTCTACCGCTTTTTTCCTATATATTTAATATCACAATCATTGCAATTGAGTTGGTAAACCCCACTTTTTGCCAAGTTGTCTACTTTGTCTTTAGGTTTTGATAGGATGTTTTTAAGAGAACCCGTACTTCTAAAAGCTATTCTAAAACCTTCTTGTTTAAAAATTTTACTAACTTTTTGCGATAATTCACCAATGTATGGCAAACAACGAAAACCTACTGATTCATTTGTGGTGGGGTGACTGAGTCCTATTGCTGATTCGTTTAAAGTTAATTTTTTCATTCTTTTAACTAGCAACCTATCAATAAACACTTCTTGATACCCGTTGTTTTTTGCTAAGGTTTAGGATCGTTGCAAAACAACTTACTGTGAGTAGGAACTATCCTTTTAAAAAGTATCAAAATGATTATTTTCAATGTATGAGAAGCTTCTTTTTCTTGCACAACAGTAATCGTTTAACCAGGCAATGTTCAGAAACTAAAATTCAAAATTAACCAAAATGAATCGAAAAGATATATGTACTTAAAATCTTTTACTATGGCTCAAAGCAATAAAATTGAATACGTCTTTCTGTCAGAGTACTTTTTTCCGGATTGGGGCTTATCTCCTCTTCCAATGTGTTTGCGATGATCGTCCCCTCTCTTCCACAGTGCAGATTCCTTCAGAACGTTCATCACAATGCTAGCAGACAACATAAGTGACCTGCAATGTATGATGAATTGGTCGGCACAGTGAAACCTTTGGCCTAACGCAGAATGTTTTCAAAACTAAGGTGAGCGCGTTCTCAAAACAGAAAGTAGACATAATTGATGGAGTGCGAGTGGAAGAAGTGATGTCGTAAGAGTACCTAGATGCGACCCTAGAAAAGAGATAAGGTTCTGAATAGAGATGACGAAAGCTTTTTAAATTTAGAGTTGAGAATGAGAATTGTAAAGTGCGCGATCTTGTTTTGTGAATGCGCAACTGTACGCTTCGTCCAAGTACGAGAAGCTTAGAAGATGCGTTATACCGGCGCATACTCCGCATACCTTGGATTTAGGTGGTTTACAAGTGAAGAAGAAGTTCAAAGAAATCAAAGGAATAAGGGGCATGTACTCGCATGGAGCGCTGTATTAATAGCTCAAGTTAATAATGGAAGGCAAAATACTAGGGAAGCGTTTCATTTGAAGGAGGAAAAACTTTGGTTGAAGGTTTTAAGGCGGTGGTTTGAACGCACATCTGAGGACGTTTCCGTCAAACTTCGAGAGAAATAAGAATAAAGCTAGTATACGTACAACCGTAACTTACAAACTAAAATCGCAAGTTCCTTCTTTCTAATACTTACGACTGTTAATGGGACGTCTATAATTACAATTTTAAATGGCTCTAACGCTTCAGACTTCTATGGTATGTCTACACGTTTTACAAAGAAAATCGGTAATGATATTTTTGTTTATCTAACCCACTTTGGTTAACACAAGTTTTGAACAAAGTAGTTTCCCGAGTGTTCTAGAAAATGTCTAAGGTTCCAAAGTTCAAAAAGGAGTAGAAAGAATGTTGAATGTTTCCAGTCTATTAGGACCGTTACTGGCAAAAATTTTCGAAAAGGCGTTTCTTTTGAGAATGCAAGATTTTGTAAATGAGCCTTGATCTATTCAAATAAGATTATTCAGAAATCGTGAGATGCGGTCTGGTGTGATGTAGGTTTCAGAAAAACATTTCCTTTATCGTCCCAACGTTTCGATCTTTATTGAGATCATCTTCAGAGCCTGGGACTTACAAACATTGTTTAAATTTAACAAATACATGTAGGATATGGAAAAACATGAATTTATACAATGAAAAAAATAACTTTTTTTTATATAATCAAAGTATTTCTACTCACTCAAAGTGTTACGCAGAACACAAACACTTTGAGTGAGTAGAAATACTTTGATTGAATATAAAAAAAAGTATATTTTTTGCATTGTATAAATTCACTTTTTTCCACTTCCTACAAGTATTTCTACTCACTCAAAGTGTTTGTTTTCTGCGTAACACTTTGAGTGAGTAGAAATACTTTGATTGAATACAAATTTTTTTTTGCATTGTATAAATTCACTTTTTCCACATCCTACATGTTTTTGTTAAATTTAAACAATGTTTGTAAATCCCAGGCCCTGAAGATGATCTCAATAAAGATCGAAACGTTGGCACGGTAAAGAAAATGTTTTTCTGAAACCCACATCACACAAGACCGCATCTCACGATTTCTGAACAATTATCGACTTACGGTCATAATCACCACACATTTCTTCGAATAAGTTTGGTTTCAGAAAAGGACTGGGTATTCGCGATCTTATAAGGACTCCGTTGATATATACAGAAATATTGAGAAGAGTGAACAGGTCAATTTGATATTATGCGACTAATCCATACGGTCCAGCATGAAACTTTGCTGTCTAAACGCTGTTTCTATGATATAAGAGGAACAGCTCACAAATATTATAAATTGCAGAAAAAAATGTACAAATTAATATTGTTGCAATATTGTTACAGTCCTTGACTTGTTAAGACCGAGTCGGTCTTCAAAGAATCTTAAGATGGCCTGTGAAAAACTTAAATGTGTCAATCTGTTGTAAATATTTAAGATTGTTTCGCCCTGATGACGACCTTCAAATAGGTCGAAATCTTGGTACTGAATTTGTTTTTTTGAATACCATATCTTTGGTGAACAGAGCCCTATTGAAACTGAATTACGAACGAATTTTAATCCTACTTTCAAATAAAAATTTAAATTGTTCCAAGCAAAATTGACCGATTCATAAATGATATCCATTGAATTTACAAATGTTTTATTTTTTGGTCGAAATAATTCTTGGCCTTGGAGGAAAAACGAATCCATCAGCGGAGTTCAAATAAAAACGCCATGAAAAACGACGACAAGAATTCATAAACTTGCAGCTCTACTAAATTTCAATATATCCAGGCCAAACGGTTTGGTGCATTGAATGTTTTTCAGTTAAACAATTTTAAAAAATCTGATTTTTTAAACTAAGCCTTTTCAAACAAAATAAACAATATTATGTAGGCTTTATAATCAATACAGAGAATATATAATTATCAGCAGTAGGTTGTTTCAAAGGAAGATTACCAACTCAGATCGACCTAGTAAAAAGTGGAAAACGGTGTCAAATTAGAGGACACTCGACTCCGTCAAGGGAAAATTGCACCCCCTGTCTATTTTTTTTTTTTTTTGCACATTTTGTTAAATACCCAAGAGTAGGGGTGGCGAATTAATCCTCTTACAGGGTATTTGGTTTTCCCTCCCTTAATTATATAGGTCGACGGTCTCTAGTTACAGTGCACCGTAAATTCTTACTCCATTGTATAAAATCACTAAGAAGCTTTGGAAGTTTGCTTGACGGCTTAGAGATCGGGATCGTGTGATTAAACTGGCAGTACAAACCTAATGATGACAGAGTACGTGAAACACGAGCAGCGATAATGTAATGAGCACCTTGCCCGACGAAGAAGGTAAAAGAATACTAGCTTTTAAATAGTTTTTCTCTATTCTTGAGAAAATAAATACAATTTGACTGCATTTCATATCTTACATTTTACTTCAAAGACGGAAAGGAAAAAATAAAAAATACTTCTCATGACCATTGTAAGACCCTGCGTCGAAAAATTTTGAGTCGATAAGCATAATGTACCAAATGTTTAATGAACGCTTAGAATAACATTGGTCATTTAAATGATTTAAACACGGAATATCAGATTCAGAAAATGTTTCTCGAATATCTGAAGCGCCTCGATTAGCCCAGACACGCAATTCAATTTGCATTTTAACCTAATCTTGAGAATAAGTCTTGCCAAAAAGTCCTTTTTATTTAGAATATTAAGCAAGACAAATAGCAAGCTCATTCAACAAAATGATTGCCACATAAGGATTAAGTTGTTTACAACACGTAATTTTTTTTGTTTTTTAACGCACAAAAATTTAAATTTATGGGAACTTTTGCTGATTCGACCGAAAGTTTAAAAAAAATTACAAGGAAGAAATAATACAACGGATCGAATCGGCAAAATTGAATAACCCTAATCAATTCCTTTCTCGAGCGTTTCTAGCCAGGGGGGAATACTTGTCTCGGTAAGTTCAGTCTAGAATTGGGGAGTGTCTGTCTTAGGAAACTACTCGAGGCTGGCCTGCGAGATCCAGTTCGTGCGATCCATGGGCTACTATCTCATCCAGATCTACATCCCCTCGGGCCTCATCGTCATCATCAGTTGGGTCTCATTCTGGCTGAACAGAAACGCGACGCCCGCCCGTGTCGCCCTGGGCGTCACCACTGTGCTCACTATGACAACGCTCATGTCCTCGACGAACGCCGCACTTCCCAAGATTTCCTACGTCAAGTCCATCGACGTCTACCTGGGAACATGTTTCGTCATGGTCTTCGCATCTCTACTCGGTGAGTACATTTTTAATTTAATTTTTGCCCCTAAGGGACGAAAATAATGAAATATTATTACCACTCCTGATGGTAATATTAAAACCGCTGCTTAACTTAACCCTAAATTAAGATAGGCTAGCATAACCCTAACCATTCACTCCACGTTTATTCAGAAATCGTGAGATGCGGTCTGGTGTGATGAAGGTTTCAGAAAAACATTTTCTTTGTCGTGCCAACGTTTCGATCTTTATTGAGATCATCTTCAGGGCTCAAAGTGTTTGTCTTCTGTGTAATTGTGCCATAGGGCACTCTCAACACGACACGCAAGAATGGCACAATTACACAGAACACAAACACTTTGAGCCCTGAAGATGATCTCAATAAAGATCGAAACGTTGGCACGTTAAAGAAAATGTTTTTCTGAAACCTACATCACACCAGACCGCATCTCACGATTTCTAAATAAATATCGATTAACTGTCACTAATCATCACACATGTTTATTCAATTCACTAGTTTTCGTGGTCCGCTTGACCAATTAATATCGTTCAATTAATTAAGGTTTTTAGTTGAGATAAAAAAGTCAATGTCAAGAGCGTGATTCGAACCCACGACCTTCGGCTAGATACGCCGCTAAAATACCTCTTGAGCTGTCATGACCTCGATCCACTCGGACACTAACTTCTCATCTCAACCCCACCTTCTGAATTTTCCCTCCTTTTTGCCATTTTTCAAATGTGTAATCCATTTGATTCTCGGCGACCAATGCAATGGCCACGGAGAGCTTTAGTGAAGATATACTTCATTTTTACTCATTAAATTCACTAGATTTCGTGGTCCGTTTGACGAATTAATATCGTTCAATTAATTAAGGTTTTTAGTTGAGATAAAAAGTCAATGTCAAGAGCAGGATTCGAACCCAAGACCTTTGGCTAGATACGCCGCTACTCTACCACCTGAGCTATCGGGACTTCGATCCTCTCTGACACCAACTTCCCATCTCAACCACACCTTTTGAATTTTCCCTCCTTTTTTCCGTTTTTCAAATGTCATGTAATCTATTTGATTCTCGGCGACCAATACAATGGCCACGGAGAGCTTAGTGAAGATATACTTCATTTAAACTTATTCAATTCACTAGTTTTCGTGGTCCGCTTGACGAATTAATATCTTTCAATTAATTAAGGTTTTTAGTTGAGGTAAAAAAGTCAATGTCCCGAGCGAGATTCGAACCCACGACCTTCGGCTAGATACGCCGCTGCTCTACCACTCTATTGTGACTTCGATCCTCTCTCACACCAACTTCCCATCTCAACCACACCTTTTGAATTTTCCCTCCTTTTTGCCATTTTTCAAATGTCGTGTAATCTATTTGATTCTCGGCGACAAACGAATGGCCAAGGAGAACTTTAGTGAAGGTACACTTCATTTTTACTCATTAAATTCACTAGTTTTAGTGGTCCGTTTGACCAATTGATATCGTTCAATTAATTAAGGTTTTTAGTTAAGATAAAAAGTCAATGCAATTAATTAAGGTTTTTAGTTAAGATAAAAAGTCAATGTCAAGAGCGGGATTCGAACCCACGACCGCTAGATACGCCGCTACTCTACCACCTGAGCTATCGTGACTTCGATCCATTCGGACAGCAACTTCCCATCTCTTTGTTTATTATTATTGAAACTTTGATGTTTGGCTAGGCTGTTTTTAAAATTTAAAAACAAATTCTCTTTTATTTTGCCTGTTTTGAACAAAGTGGCTGCATAAATGAAGCGGCCGAATTTTTGTTTCCAACCTTGTGGAAATGTCACGCAGCCGGAATATTTGTGTAACGATTAGCCGTACAACGCAAGTTATCACGGGCTTTGAGTCCGGCCGTTCCATTTTTATAATTTATTCTTCCACTTTGAATCGAGCCAGTTTAGCATGGAAGGAGAGCCTGTGCAAACCTCACATAAGCCGCTGGGGCGAGCTTATGAAAAATTAATTGAGTTTATACAGCGGAGCCTGTATTCGAGGCGGGGCCGAATGAGTGAGAAAGGTAGATAGAGGCTGAACAACGCCTTTCACGAGACGGCAATAACGTTTTGTGTAACGCCTTGATAAAGTAAGGTTTAATGTTTAATACCGCCCAGACCGTGTACAGGTGAACTAATAATGTTCTCGGGAACATCAAAAAGTCTAATGGGACCCGAGTTAAACCGGCTCAGAACCGCGCCGACAATATCTTTTCGTGTAATGAAATATTAGCGAACGGAATAACTGGCCTCGCGGTAATTTTAGTGTCATCTCATCAGTGGTTACATTTAGACGGTATTATTAGCACAAACGCTTCGGATCTCCCTTCCTATTGCAAACACACCAATTCGGAATCCTTTGTCTTCTGCCTAATAAAATGTTCGGGGAAAGAATTCAACCAACTTAATGCAGAAACAGCCAAAAGTATCTTACCCAACATACAGACATTAGGATATATTGTACGCAAAAAATATATTAAATTGTGTAAACGTTTGAACATTACAAAAGAACTTTATGTAAAGTATTGGTTGAGATAAAAAAGCCAGTGGCACGAGCGGGATTCGAACCCATGACCTTCGGCTAAATACGCCGCTAACTACCACTTGAACTAGCGTGACTTCAATCCACTCGGACACCAACTCCCCATCTTTCCCCACCTTTCGAAAATTACCTTCTGTTTCCTATTTTTTCGAATATTGTGTAATCAGAATTCGATTCTCAGAGACAAATGAAATGGCCACTGAGAGCTCTTAGTGGAATAGGTTGAAAATATATATAAGAAAATAAGAATAAAAGCCATATAAGAAAAAATCTTATGGCCGAGAATTGAATCCTGATTACACATTTGGAAAATGGCAAAAAGGAGGTAAAATTCGAAAGGTAGGTTGTGTTGGGGAGTGGTGTCCGAGTGGTAAGTTCCAATAATTCAAGTGGTAGAGCAGCGGCGTATTTAGCCGAAGGTCATGGGTTCGAATCCCGCTCGTGGCACTGGGTTTTTTAATCTCAACCAATACTTTACATAAAGATTAATTAATTGAAAGAAGTCAATGGTCAATCGGACCACGAAATCTAATGAATTAAATAGATGTTGCTCAATTTTATGTTAAAAATTCAGAAATAAAGCCAATTTGAAAAAATCACCTTCATCATCATTAAAACAATTATCAACTATTTACCAGATTATTCAGAAATCGTGAGATGCGGTCTGGTGTGATGTAGTTTCAGAAAAACATTTTCTTTATCGTGCCAACGTTTCGATCTTTACTGAGATCATCTTCAGGGCCTGGGATTTACAAACATTGTTTAAATTTAACAAATACATGTAGGATGTGGAAAAAAGTGAATTTATGCAATGCAAATAATTTTTTTTAATATATTCGATCATGTAATGTATAAAACAAAATATTTATTTGCATTGTATAAATTCACTTTTTTTCACATCCTACATGTTTTTGTTAAATTTAAACAAAGGTTGTAAATCCCAGGCCTTGAAGATGATCTCAATAAAGATCGAAACGTTGGCACGATAAAGAAAATGTTTTTCTGAAACCTACATCACACCAGAACGCATCTCACGATTTCTGAATAATCATCGACAAACGGTCACTTAACACCACACACTATTTACAAGGTTATATTTAGATATTTTTTCTTTTTTTTACGAGGGTTTGCAACAGCAGAGGTTAGATCAACCCTCGGAATGCCGGTGTTTGTTAGTATGTCGGGTTCGAATGCAGGGCCGCTGGATTCGAACCCGGGACCTTTACCTTACAGTGAAGAACGCCGTTTCAACGCCTAAGCCGTTGCCACCAACGCTCCCTTATAGATAAAATGGACTTTGAACTCGTTCACTGCAAATTTAATTCGTGATTTCATTGCTCCAAACTATTGGTTGTTTTTTGTCTGTGTTTAGTGTAGATATTTTGTCAGTTTTTCTGCTTTGGTTGTTCGTCATGTTTATTGTCTCTTTTTTATGTGTTTTGTTTCATTTTTCCTTCTTTTTGTACTTTTTATTAAGTTTATTAGTAAATTTTACCCTGGACAAAAAAGTTAAATTACAATACTAGATTCACTAGTTTTCGTGGTCCGCTTGACCAATTAATATCTTTCAATTAATTAAGGTTTTTAGTTGAGATAAAAAAGTCAGTGTCACGAGCGGGATTCGAACCCACGATTTTCGGCTTGATACGCCGATACCCACTTGAGCTATCGTGACTTCGATCCACTCGGACACTAAAAGTTTCCAAAGATGATCCAGGTTTTATCCAGTATAAATCCACATTGTGAAAACGTGTTAATGTACTAACAAATGGGCTAATGCTGATGATATTAAAAAATTTTATACGTCATTGATTCAGATGCCATTCCTGTCGGATGGGAATAGAAAAGATTTCTCTGCCATGTTGGATTTTTTGCCAGAAACTGCTAAAAGATATTATCAAAACCTTTTCAATTAATTACTCTTTAATTAAGGTTTTGGTTGAGATAAAAAGTCAGTGACACAAACGGGATTCGAACCCACGATCTTCGGCTAGATACGCCGTTGGTCTACCACTTGAGCTATTGTGACTTCGATCCGCTTGGACACTAACTTCCCATCTCAACCACACCCACGAATTTTCCCTCCTTTTTGCCATTTTTCAGATGGGAAGTTCGAATCCCGCTCGTGACACTGACTTTTTTATCTCAACCAATACCTTCGGCAGTTAGTGTCCGAGTGGATCGAAGACACGATAGCTCAAGTGGTAGAGTAGTGGCGTATCTAGCCGAAGGTCGTGGGTTCGAATCCCGCTCGTGACACTGACTTTTTTATCTCAACTAAAAAAAAAAATTTTTTTAAATCTACCACCATTACTCAAATCGATTTTTTTTATTTATTTATTACACATTCGCCTAGGAAAAGGTGGGGTTGAGATGGGAAGTTTCTTTCCGAGTGGATCGAAGTCACGATAGCTCAGGTGGTAGAGTAGCGGCTTATCTAACCGAAGAACGTGGGTTCGAA